TTCTCCCCCCCCCCCCCCTACGTCTCCCTCTTTCCACAGCTGCCTCCTGTCTCCTTCCCATCTCCCTGCTTTCCCGTTTTCTTCCACTCTCTTCGTCTTTCCCTCTTCTCTTCCTCTCTCCCTTGTCTCCCTCTTCCATTCCTCCTCACTCCCACCTACTTTTGCTCCATTCCCCTTCCCTCCCTCCTCCTTTTCCCTTGTTCCTCTCCTCCTTCGTCCTCCTTCCTCCCTCTTCTTCCCACTTCCTCTCCTCTCCTCTCTCCCTATTCCACCCACTCCTCTTCCCCCCCTCGTCCTCCCCTCTCTCTCTCTCTCTCTCTCTCTCTCTCTTTTCGCCTCTGACCCCCATCCTCTTGCCTAAGCGCACCCAAGGAAGGTCTGAGGCTTGAACTGTTGTCTGGTTTCTCCCTCCCCCCCTCCCCCCTCTCCCTCGTCCCCTCCCCCCCTCCTCCTTCCCCCCCTCTCCCTCGTCCCCCGCGGCCTTCTGTCAGTCTTGCAAGGTAGTCAGCACACTACGATATTTTTGCAAGAGGTGGTATATGTGAGGTAAATATATTATCTTTTTTTTCTCCTTATCATTATCATTTCCTATCTTTTATGAGATTGCTGTATTTGTATTGTTGTACTATTGTATATTATTATGACAGTTTATGGTTTATGTGAATATGAAATAGGTTTTTGCGTTACTCTGTATGTCAGTGTATTGTGTATACTTCATGATTTTTCTTATATGTATTTTATTTTATTAATTTCGATCAATTTGCTTATGTTTATTGTTATTACTCAAATAACATCGGAAGTCTTCAGTCTACTGTTATTTATGAAAATTCCATATGTTTAGTGTTTATCTGATTCATTACTATTTCAGTGTATCATTCCATCCCTTTCTTGTTTATTTATCCATTTTTAGAATTTCCGTCGAATGAAGTAAAATCAACAAAGTCATCGCACTTCTTTCGATCGCTGACTTTTTGCAACGTCCTTCACAGTTGCCAAATTTGATTCCTTTTTCACTTCAACGAAGAAACACGCACACGCCATAAAAGAAATACAGTCTCACCAGAACACATAAAAAGATAAAATTGTCGCTGGACTCTTACTGGATACGTGACTAAGGCCAGCTGGCTAAACATAAGCCCCCCCCCCTCCCCATCTCTCTCTCTTTCTCTCTCTCTCATCTCCGTTCCCTCTTTCTACTCCTACCTACCCCTCCCCACCCCCCCATTTCCGTAGGTTATTGCACTTCTTCTTCTGTTTCCCTGTTTCTTGCTTTCCTTGCTGAAGTTTCCCCCTACAATCTATATATCTTTTCTTTCTCTTCCACTTCCATTTCTTATCCCCGTGGACTTATCTACCTCTTCCCATCCCTAATGAATCTTCCCCTCCCCCACCCCCCCAAAAAAATAAAAAAAAACATTGCTTTTCTCCCCCCCCTACCCAAACCTACCGATGCCTTTCCCCAAGATAACATTGATTCCTCCCCCCCCACACACACTTCCCTTTCCTAACCCCATCCACCTCTTTTCCCCTTATAAACTCCCTCTTAAAATGAACCCCACTTCCCCACCCACCTCGGTCTCTCTCCCCGCCCCCCCAAGTCAGAGTTGTCGAAACCATCCGCCATAATATGTCTAACCTGTCTCAAATAACTCAGCAGTTTCCTCTTTTTCCGTCTTCTCCGTCTCCTTGTCTCTGTCTCTGCCTGTCTGTCAGTCTGTCTGACAGATAGACAGACCCTCTCTCTATATCTCTTTCTCTATCTCCCTCTATCTCTATCTCTCCCTCTTCCTCTTTCCCCTCTCCTTTCCCTTCCCCCTCCCCTATCCCTCTCCCCTTCCCTCCCCTCCCCCTCTCTCCGTCTCCCTCTCACCCTCTCTCCCTCTCCCTCTCCCTCTCCTTCTCCCCTTCCCTTCCCTTCCCTCCCCCTCTCCTTCTCCCCCTCTCTCTCTCTCCCTCTCTCCCTCTCCCTCTCTCTCTCTCACCCTCTCTTTCTCCTCTTCCCTCCCCCCCCCTCCCCCTCTCTCCCTATCTCCCTCTCTTTCTCCTCCCCCCCTCTCACCCTCTCTTTCTCCCTCTCACCCTCTCCTTCTCCCTCTCCCCTTCCCTTCCATTCCCTCCCCTCCCCTCCCCCTCTCTCCCAATCTCCCTCTCTCCCTCTCCCTCTCACCCTCCCTCTCTCCCCCTCTCCCTCCCTCTCACACAGCTGATCGAAGGTGGAGCGATTCCTCAGGGAAGGTTCTGTGGGTAAACATCGTTGGTAAGTGTAACGAGCAAAGGTTTTTTTCCGAGGCTTGGCAAACAGCAGTAAGCGTAGTAAGAGAATCAGGAATCAGGTAGCATAGCTTCTTTGAATTGGCTTTTTTTTTCCTTTTTCTTTATGTTTGGGTTTAAATGAGTCTCGGAGAGAGAGAGAGGAAGAGATGGGTTAGATAGGTACGGAGGTATATAGATAGGTAAATAGACAATGAAATATTTATATCTATATTCATCTATTCATATATACACACATACAGACAGACAGATACACAGATAAGCAGACAGATAGACAGATAGATAGGCAAACAGATAGACAGATAGATAGATAGAGATAAACAAACACACTAAGAAGAAGAAGAAAGTGAACTATATAATCAGCAAGCACTGACGACACAGCAACTCCTCATAAATTGCAAAATGTACAAGAAGGAAACGAATTCGCTCCACACCTTCCCCCTTCCCCCCTCCCCACTCCTCCCTTCCCCCTTCCCCCTTCCCCCTCCCGCCAGGACACCAAGCCATAATCTCGTAAACAAAATGACTTGGCTTATCACGAGAGATGATTCACGTTTGCGGGCGAGAAAGTGACACGCAACGAGAGAGCAATTATTTTCATCAGTCATTAATTTGCGAGAACCTCCACTGTAATTAGATGGTGTCCTTGCGAGGCTGTAATTGCTCGTGTTACAATTTTGTTCCTGCTTGACGTTTTTTTTTTCTCGTGTTCTGATGATGTTCATAAATAAAAAGTAAATAAGAAAATGGAAATATAAAATATATATATATACAAAAGTATTTGCATATCGATGTGAAAATCACACACGCATCCACATGCAAACATTCATAAACACACAAGCATTTGGACACACACACACACACACACACACACACACACACACACACACACACACACACACATAGACACTTACATCAACCCATCCATCTCTATCTATATCTACACATTCGAAATACGTCGCATCAACATAAACGACACACAAGCGTTTCCCAAATTGGATCATATACCCGCCAGCTCATAACGTCTCCGCCTGATCTACATTTTGCAATATTCTGCAACATGAAGACGCCCATAACAATGACATCTCATCCTGGTCCTTGTGAGGAGGTTGAGCTAAGATGCAGGAGCGCCGACCGAGGTCTTGCTCTTGGGTCGATTTAAGAGGGAATAAGACCCCGTTTATTCCATAAATTTGCTTCATTTTCTCCTTTCAGAGGTGTGAGTGTGAGTGTGAGTGTGAGTGTGTGTGTGTGTGTGTGTGTGTGTGTGTGTGTGTGTGTGTGTGTGTGTGTGTGTGTGTGTGTGTGTGTGTGTGTGTGTGTGTGTGTGTCTGTGTATGTGTGTGTGTGTGTGTGCGCGTTCATCATATGTATATTAATATTCATAATATTAATAGTAATAATAATGATAGTAAGATCATAAAAATGAAAAAAAAAATGATAATAGAGAATAGACGAGAAGAAGGAAGAGAAAAAAATAAGAACAAAAAGAAGAAGGAGAATAAAAAAAAAAATAAGTAGAAAAAAAAGAAAGAAGAAGAACAGCAGGGGATACGACTCTATTCTCAAATATTTCTTTAGGCAAAAACAAACATCGAGAAAAAAAGTAACGACGCCTTTTTATTTCGTCGAAGACTTTCGTTTGCCTCTGGAAATTATTTTCTTTTTTTCACATATTATACAATAACGATATTCACGTAAGAGGCAAGTTTAATGGGCCGAATGAATTAACTAATCGGCAAAGCAGTCATGTGTGAAACAATCTTCACGAACGAAAAAGAGAGCGATACAGAGAAAATTGAATATGAATGGTGAATAAAAGAGAGAGAGAGAGAGAGAGAGAGAGAGAGAGAGAGAGAGAGAGAGAGAGAGAGAGAGAGAGAGAGAGAGAGAGAAAGGGAAAGAGAAAGGGAAAGAGAGAGAGAGAGAGAGAGAGAGAGAGAGAGAGAGAGAGAGAGAGAGAGAGAGAGAGAGAGAGGGAGAGAGGGAGATAGAGAGAGAGAAAGGGAAAGAAAGAGAGAAAGGGTGAGAGAGAGGGAGAGGGAAAGAAAAATAGAAAGGAAAAAAAAACAGAGAAAGAAAGAAAGAAAGAAAAAAAACGCCAATTCCGAAACACATTTAAGAGTCAGCTTCATAATTACATTTCCTAGTGTATAATTTCCAGTAATAAGTTCCGGGAAAGTTCTCGAGTCTGTATGAAAGCGGTGATCTCTGCGATTACGTAATTTGGCATCAAAACAGCCCATGAACTCCTGCTGTGACATGGGAATTACGTCTTTAATAGCAACGGGAATGGGAGATATTTGGCCTAAAGTTTGTGGCAATATTATGGTGAATTATTAACTAGTCTAACATTGTAAGTAGCTATGTAGCTTGTGAATAAAACAAGTGATAAAAGAAAAAAACAAGATCACAAGAAAATAAAAACTTAAACAAAAAAGAATAACAATAATAAAAATATATAAATAAAAAATGTAAATAGCGTATTTTTGTAGTTTTAGCGATATTTTTCTACGCGTCAAGGCCTCAGGAACGAAGGATCACGATGATAATGACAATAAAGACGATAATGATGATAATAATGATACTACTAATAATAATGGTAATACTTGCAATGCACTTTATTTGTTCCCTTGTTTATTTCGTATCACAAGAGGACCAACGACGAAATAGCATCTATATCCTATCAAACATCACGTTGATACAAATTAATTTCCTTCGGCAAACGAACTCTAAATAATGATGATAATAAGGATGAATCTAAGGATGATAATATGACCATAATTACCACCACAAACAAATTTAGTGAAAAATTAAAAGCATACTCCTTCCTTAATTGCGAATAAAAATTAAGCCCACACGTTACTGCTCGCACTGGATAACATCACATTAATGACAGTCAATACATGGCTTGTTTACCTTTCACCCCCCCCCACTCGCCACCCCCCTCTCCCTCCCCTCCCGCCGCCGCTGTATATACATTTGTAATTTTGAAAGTTCATAAAAAACACTAAAATTACACCTTTTGCGCTGCGTTAAAATTCCAATAATAGGACCCGACATTTCTGATTGGATTCTCATTAAAGAAGGAAAATAATAACAATTAAAAATAGATAACGACCTCTGTTAAAAATGGATATTGGTTATGATACCTACGAAAGAGAGAGAGAGAGAGAGAGAGAGAGAGAGAGAGAGAGAGAGAGAGAGAGAGAGAGAGAGAGAGAGAGAGAGAGAGAGAGAGAGAGAGAGAGAGAGAGAGAGAGAGTGAGAGAGAGAGAGAGAGAGAGAGAGAGAGAGAGAGAGAGAGAGAGAGAGAGAGAGAGAGAGAGATAATTTTTAAAAATATACGTTCAAGCCAGGTCTGTCATGCAAATGACTAAAAATTCTAATGTGAACCTGATGATCATTATATATGCAAATGCCAGGGCTGGAACAGTGGTTATAATGATCCAATATAAAGTATAATGCAGATGGCGGCCATGACGTGCGATGCAATATCACTGATGACGTAATATGCAACAGAAAACAATGCAAAATGGCATCAGTTGGCATAATAGGCTTCTGACTAATGATGAAAGCATTAGTTTCTCGGCCTTTTTTCGTGAATAAATCAATATATTTTTAAAATATACTTCAACGATTATTTTACAATTTTGCAGGTGGCTGACGTAGTATATATATATATGCATATGTGTATATTTATGTATAAACACATATATGTATACGTTCCATAAAACATCAACCCAGATACACATTCGTATCCTTTGCAGCAGTAAAAAAAAGTAGTGTCAGTGGTGGTGGTAGTACAAGCAGTAGTTGCTGTAGCAGAGGTAGTAGTAGCAATAGTAGCTATAGTAGTAGAAGTAGTAATAACAGTGGTAGTAGTAGTAATAGTAGAAGTAATAGTAATAGTAATAGTAGAAGTAATAGTAATAATAATAATAATAGTAATAGTAATAGTAATAGTAGTAGAAGTCGTAATAGTAGTATTAATAATAGTAGAAGTCTTCGCAGTGGTAGTAGCAGTCTCTTATTGAAATAACAATAGCCATCAAAACTGCCGTCACTTCCTCATCATCATAATAATTCCCCAAGACTTATCACAAGCAGCGCCTTGAACAAGTTACGATTATCATTACTGTAATGAGTAATGATATCAATAAACCTTAGGCTTCAAGTGCCAGACGCCGCCATCTAAATGAATCCCATTTACGAACCCTTTAAGTATCATTACGGCGGAAAAGAATGTTAAACGAATGGAGGCATCTGGAGCGAAACAGATTCACTCGTTTCTGTCTCTCTCTTTTTATTTCATTAATTTTTTAAACTCGCACATCAGCGCGTTTGAGCCTCCCCCACGCACAGACTCTGTTCGAACTCTACTTGATTCTCTCGAATTTCCTCGAACTCACTGAATCCCTTGTGCACACACGCAGCTCCTTGCACGTGAGGGAGGCAAGGATGACATTACTTGCCCTGTGTAGAGGCCGACCTTGCTAGGTTCTGGGACTCGCCCTCATGCACAGGAGAGTCTTTTAGAATACTTGTGGTGTTCTTTCTTTCTCTCTCTCTCTCTCTCTCTCTCTCTCTCTCTCTCTCTCTCTCTCTCTCTCTCTCTCTCTCTCTCTCTCTCTCTGTCTCTCTCTCTCTCTCTCTCTCTCTCTCCACCCCTTTAGACACTGTGGCTCCTCTTCAGTTTTGTCCGGTCTCACATTTCTATAGGTACCACTTGACCCATATCCCTCTTGCATCGCTGAGCCTTCTCGTCTTTATATGTATATTCTCATTTTTTTCTGGATCTTACACTCTTTCTCTCTCTCTCTCTCTCTCTCTCTCTCTCTCTCTCTCTCTCTCTCTCTCTCTCTCTCTCTCTCTCTCTCTCTCTCTCTCTCTCTCTCTGTTAATTCGCTCTAAAGTGGATAATCATCTGAAACCGGTTTTTCATCCCGTTCTTACTTTCCCTTTCGGGTACCGTTTATGACCGCAGCAACTTCTTGTTTTCGGGGGAACATCTTCCCTTTAATGCAAACTTTACCTCCCATGATAAGTTTCAGTTCATCTATTTGCACTGCTTTTACCTCCGTGGCTTTCTTGCTTAAATCTTTATCTGTGTCTTACGTGTACCCTATAAAATCCATTACCTCTATAAATCTTAGTCCTGGACACACTTTTCTCCGACGCAAATTGAGTTTCTTCAGAGGAGCAGCGTAAACCGCGGTCGTAACTTATCTCTATCTTCTCGTCCTTTCTGTCCCCTTCTCTGTTTTTTCCTATCTCTCTCTTTGCCGCCCGTTCTCTTTCTCTCTCTCTCTCTCTCTCTCTCTCTCTCTCTCTCTCTCTCTCTCTCTCTCTCTCTCTCTCTCTCTCTCTCTTTCTCTTTCTCTCTTTCTCTCTTTCTCTCTCTCTCTCTCTCTCTCTCTCTCTCTCTCTATCTCTCTATCTATCTATCTCTGCCTATTTCCATTTATCTATCTCATCTCTCTCTCTCTTTCACTCTTTCTTTGCTTGTATCTTACCTCCCTCCCCCCCCACCCAGCCCTTGCCCAAGAACCTTTTGGAAATCCCCGGCCATGAGCCCTTAAGTCTATCGCCTCAGACGCCGTCATTCAAGACGCGCGTCCCCTTCCGAGAGTCCCCCCCCGAATATCAGTCCATAAGCCTCGCTCCGCTAATAGCCGCTGGAAGTTGGCTATTTGCTACGCGTAGGCCTAAGGTCCCGGGCTGACTTTGGGTGTGATTCCTCGTGTCGAGACGCTCTGTGTCGTCCATTTGTCGCGGTGTATTTGCCGAGGGTGAGGGGAAAAGGGGGTACTAAGGTAAAGGTAAAAGGGGAAAGGGGCTACCAAGGTAAGGGAATAAAGGGGTAAGGGGCTATTAGGGTAATGGGTAAGGGGAAAGGGGAAGGGAGCAACTAGAGTAAGAAATTAAGGGAGTAAGGGCCCCCTAGGGTAAGGGAATAAGGGGATAAGGGACTACTAGGGTAAGGGGTAAGGAGAAAGGAGCTACTATGGTAAGGGATAAGGGGATAAGGGGCTACTGAGGAAAGGGGTAAGGGGAAAGGAGCTAGTAGGGTAAGGGTAAATGGGGAAAGAAACTACTATGGTAAGGGGCTTCTAGGGTAAGAGAAAAGGAACTACAAGGGTAAGGGGGTTAAGGAAGCAAGGAGATGGCCTCTTCCTCAGGATGAGACACAAGCTTGTGAGGAAAAGCAAGACGAAGATGCTGATGAGGAAGACAAAGCTGAAGACGCGGTACATTTCTCCCCCTTTCCTTCCCGTGATTGTCCTCCCCATCCGACGTCCCTCAAGGAAGCGGAAAGAGTCAACAACATTGGCGTGAGGGAAACAAAACTCAAAATAAAGACCCGGCGCTCAATTACCATAAAGATACCCGGCGCCGTGCGTAATCGTTAGCGCTCGTGGGAGATGCTATATGAGGCGGCGATGCTGTGTTATAAAATTTCTCCTCGAAGTCATCCATAACAGGGCAAGGAGGAGAGCGCTCAAGGGGAGAAAACCGTGTCTAAAAAAATAGACAATTTGATTCAGGTGTTAGAGCTTGTACGGAGAGGAGGCAGAAGAAGAGGAGGAATAAAGAAAGAAAGAAAAAAAAAATGGGGGGAGGGGAAGAAGAAGAAAAGGAAGACGAGGCGAGGAGAAGGAAGAACTGATGGCTCATACAAGATTAGTGAAATTGTAAGTAGTCCAGAAAAAAAAAGAGAAAAAGAAAGAAAGAAAGAGCAAAAAAAAGACTCATGGGTCGAAGAACGAACCGATGGAGAGCCGTTAAATAAAAATCTCTGCGGGGGTACAGAGGCCCTTTTGAAGATGGGAGCTCCGGGAGAAGGGGAAGTGGACTGCATGCTGTCTAGGATACGTTGGGAAAAGGCAAGTAGAAAGGAGAGGAGGGGCAGGGGAGAGGAGGAGGAGGAGATGGAGGAGGAGGAGGAGGAGGAGGAGGATATGGAGGAGGAGGAGGATATAGAGGAGGAGGAGGATATGGAGGAGGAGGAGGATATGGAAGAGGAGGAGGATATGGAGGAGGAGGAGGATATGGAAGAGGAGGAGGATATGGAGGAGGAGGAGGATATGGAGGAGGAGGAGGATATGGAGGAGGAGGAGGATATGGAGGAGGAGGAGGATATGGAGGAGGAGGAGGATATGGAGGAGGAGGAGGATATGGAGGAGGAGGAGGATATGGAGGAGGAGGAGGATATAGAGGAGGAGGAGGATATGGAGGAGGAGGAGGATATGGAAGAGGAGGAGGATATGGAGGAGGAGGAGGATATGGAGGAGGAGGAGGATATGGAGGAAGAGGAGGATATGGAGGAAGAGGAGGATATGGAGGAGGAGGAGGATATGGAGGAGGAGGAGGATATGGAGGAGGAGGAGGATATGGAGGAGGAGGAGGATATGGAGGAGGAGGAGGATATGGAGGAGGAGGAGGAGGAGGAGGAGGAGGAGGAGGAGGATATGGAGGAGGAGGAGGATATGGAGGAGGAGGAGGAGGAGGAGGAGGAGGATGAGGAGATGGAGGAGGAGATGGAGGATGAGGAGGAGAACAAGAAGTTGAAAAAGAAGAAGAAAACTATGGAGAATAAAACGAAGATAAATGGAAGAGAATCAAGAGGAAAATGAGGAGAAGGAGGAAGTTTAATTAAATTAATGTTAAAAAACAAAGCTGAAAGGGAAACAAAAGAAGAAGGAAGAAGAAAAGGAGAAGGAGGAGGAAGAAGAAGAAGAAGAAGAAGAAGAAAGAAGAAGAAAGAAGAGGCGGAAGAAGAAGAGAAGGAAGAAGAAAAATAATAGAAGTAAGAAGAAGTAGAACAGAAGGAAGAGAAATAGAATGAAGAAGAAGAGGAAGAATAATAATAAGAATAGAAGAAAGAAGAAGAGGAAGAAGAAAAAGAAGAAGAAGAAGAGGAGGAGGAGGAAGAAGAGGAATAAGAAAAGGAGGAGAAAGAAGAAGAGGAGGAGGAAGAAGAAGAGGAGGAGGAAGAGGAAGAAGAAGAAGAGGAGGAAGAGGAAGAAGAAGAAGAAGAAGAAGAAGAGGAGGAGGAGGAAGAAGAGGAATAGGAAAAGGAGTAGAAAGAAGAAGAAGAGGAGGAGGAAGAAGAAGAAGAAGAAGAGAAAGAAGAAGAAGAAGAAGAGAAAGAAGAAGAAGAAGAAGAGAAAGAAGAAGAAGAAGAAGAGAAAGAAGAAGAGGAAGAGTAGGAGGAGGAAAAAGAAGAGGACTCGTCCCTCCTTCAATGGTAATGCCACTTGGACGGCAGAAAAGTTTGGATGGAGATGCAGGGTGAATGGAAAAATGATTCGTAACGTTTAATGATGGTGAAGGGGATGTTGGGGAGATAGTGATGATTGGACGGTCATCTAGCGAGGGGGAGAAGAGGTGGGGGAGACAGGGAGGGAGAGAGGGAGGGGGAGACAGGGAGGGGGAGACAGGGAGAGAGAGGGAGGGGGAGAATGGGGGAGAAGAGGGGAGAAAGGGAGGGAGAGAGGGAGGGGGAGAATGGGGGAAAGAAAGAGGGGGTGACGAGAGGGGGGAGGGAGAGTGGGAAGGGAAGAATGGGGGAAAGAAAGAGGGGGAGATAGGGAGGGAGAGAGGGAGGGGAAGAATGGGGGAAAGAAAGAGGGGGAGACAGGGAGGGAGACAGGGAGGGGGAGAATGGGGGAAAGAAAGAGGGGGAGATAGGGAGGGAGAGAGGGAAGGGAAGAATGGGGGAAAAAAAGAAGGGGAGAAGAGAGGGGGGAAGGAGAATGGGGAAAGAAAGAAGGGGAGAGAAAGAGGGGGAGACAGGGAGGGGGGGAGGGAGAGAGGGAAGGGAAGAATGGGGGAGAAGAGAGGGGGGAGACAGGGAGGGAGAGAGGGAGGGGGAGAATGGGGGAGAAGAGGGGGAGAAAGGGAGGGAAAGAGGGAGGGGGAGAATGGGGAAAGAAAGAGGGGGAGAAAGGGAGGGAGAGAGGGAGGGGGAGAATGGGGGAAAGAAAGAGGGGGAGAAGAGAGGGGGGAGGGAGAGTGGGAAGGGAAGAATGGGGGAAAGAAAGAGGGGGAGATAGGGAGGGAGAGAGGGAGGGGAAGAATGAGGGAAAGAAAGAGGGGGAGATGGGGAGGGAGAGAGGGATGGGAAGGATGGGGGTAAGAAAGAGGGGGAGATAGGGAGGGAGAGAGGGAGGGGAAGGATGGGGGAAAGAAAGAGGAGGAAAGGGGGGAAAGGTGAAAGAAGTGGAGAAGGGGGAAAGGGGATGGTAGGAGGAGATTGGGGAAAGGAAGGAAGGGGAATAGGGAAAGAAAGGGGGGTGAGAGAGAAGGGAGGATGGGGAAATAAAGGAGGGGAAAACGGCAATGAGATGGAAAAGGGAGAAATGGAAAGAAAGAAGAAACGAGGAGGAAGGAAAAGAAAGGAAGGGGGATAAAAGAAGGAAAAAGAAGGAGAGAGAGAAAAGAGTAGAAAGAGGAGCGTGAGAAAGTACAAAAATAGAGAAAAAACGAGAGAGAATGAAAGACGTGGAGACGAATTCAAGGGAGAGGGAACGAAACCAGGGGTGGGGAAAGGGATGGAACGGGGGGGGGGAGGGGACGAAACCAGAAGTGGGGAAAAGGATGGAACGGGGGGGGGGGGGGACGAAATCAGGGGTTGGGAAAGGGATGGAACGGGGGGGGGGGGGAGGGGACAAAACCAGGAGTGGGGAAAGGGATGGAACGGGGGGGGGGGCGAAACCAGAAGTGGGGAAAAGGATGGAACGGGGGGGGGGGGGCGAAATCAGGGGTTGGGAAAGGGATGGAACGGGGGGGGGAGGGGACAAAACCAGGAGTGGGGAAAGGGATGGAACGGGGGGAGGGGGGGGAGGGGACGAAACTAGGAGGAGGAAGGAGGGGACGAAACCAGGGGTGGGGAGGAGGGGACGAAACTAGGAGGGGGAGGAGGGGACGAAACCAGCATTCGACTGCTATCTTTTAACGAGCGACCCGAAAGTTCATGCGACGCTGGGTATGAGAGAGAAAGTTGAAAAAAGATTTATCCAGAGTTTGAGAGGTTTCCAAGATGCCCCTCTTAAAAAAAAAGAAAAAAGAAAATAAAAGAGGGAGAAAAAAAAGACGGAATAGAAAGAAATGACAGGGCAGTAAAATAAATCGATAGAAAGGAATAACTTTGACATAAGACCACGTCGTTTCGGGAAGGAACTTTATAAATGGTACGTCATGGAAAACCGTTCAGTTTTTCCTCTATGAAGATTGTAAATGTCAGGGAGCCGAACTTCGGTCATCTATTGGAATATATAACTAATAAAAATATCGCATAATTTTCCTTCTTGCAGATATTTGTAGGTACGTAAATAGCAATGAATATGCAAAAGTGGCATTTCTTTCAACAGCAATGCCTTTTTAAAATACAAAGGACCTTCTTAAATCTAAAATGGCTCGAGGGTCTCCGGATATAGAAATTCTTGGTTCTCGAGTAATAATTTCCAACCGCTTTCGAGTGTGCGTATGCAAATAGGAATGACCGGTTGCCCTTATTACATGTATACATACACAGGCGTACACAGACGTACATAGATAGAGAGGCGGTCAGACAAACAGACAGACAGACGCACACACAGACAAGTAGGCAGGTAGGCAGACACAGACACACACACAGATAAATAGGCAGGTAGGCAAACACAGACACATACGTACACTGCTTCAAGACATACCAGTAAAACATATCTGTAAAAGAGAAAAACATGGAGCGCGTATAACCGAGAGAGTTTTTTAAGCATGTAATACGCATAACATTGTTATTCTAATGTTATTCATTATTTGTGTTAATGCAGTTATCTTCCATGTACATTATCCGTACTCGTGTTCTTCTGTTTAGAAATACTGCAAGAGTGGTACATCAGTCAACCTACTGTATTAAAATTTTGTATTATCTTGTTCTTCATCTCCTCCGATCTTGAGAGCGACTTGCAGGAGGACTTGAAGGACGCGAGTGACATCCTGTCTAATATGGAGGAGTTCATGGCTGAGAGAAAGGAGCCCTTCCTACTCTCCGAGCCGTGCGTCCCTCCAGGAACTCTCAGGTGAGACAGGCCTTGGCTAGCTCGACGTCCTCCTAAGGACTCGAGAAATCCCTTGGCGTCTAGTCTGGTCCTCGACGAGAGGAATCCTTTGGATCCGTTTGGGACGTTGAGACTGCAGCGGGAGGACTGCCTCGCCCCCGCCTTCAGGAACGGCTTCGGGGAGCTCAGGTTCTGCGTGACGATGAAGGGGATGGACCGCTGGCGCATCGTCGAGTTCAGGAAAGGCTTCTCCTTCGGCTCGTCGGTCTGCACGCCGTTCAGGGCGTCTCGGGGCGCGAGGATCAGGTTGGAGATGGTGCCGTAGTTGGACACGTTCTTGTCTCTGTTGAGGTGGACGTTGGGCTGGTCCGAGAGGAGGCCCAGCTCCACCGTCTCGACGCCATCGCTCTTCTCCGCGAAGTGGTACTGCGGTTTGCCGAAGGAGAGGAACGACTTCTGCTGGGGCTCCGCGTGGCATGTGGACAGGACGCTCCCGCTGCTCCCCCTCCGCTCGTACTTCTCCTCGACGGAGTCTTGTCTGGAGGCGTCGTCGCTGTTCCCTTCGCTCTCGCTCGTGCCGCTCGTCTGCGATTTGCCCATCAGGAAGTACCTGGAGCAGAACCTCTCCCTCGACTTGCATCCTCGTCTGGGATTCCCTATCAGGTCCCCCCAGCTCCTCGCCTGCGAGAGCGTGAAGGGGGACTCACTGAGAAAGGACTCGATGGTCGTGGGACTGCAGAGGGCGTCGACTGAGGCGCAGGAGCGACTGGTGTCCGAGGCTCCGCTGATGGTAAAGGGCGCCGGGCACGGTCCTACC